CGCAAAGAATTTAACTGCCTAATAATTTTAATTCCAGTAAACGCATCTGAGATCTAAGTGAGATACAAATCGAACACAATCGAAAACACTCATGTCATACCATAATACGAAAATCACCATTTATTTCTCCTAGTAAGTGAGAAGGGAGAAAAAATAAGAACACATCGAAAACAATCGAAATAACTCATGTCATACCGTTAATACGAAATGATTAATCACCATATACTTGTCCCAGATAAGTGAGAAAAAGTGATACCCAAATCGAACAGTCGCAGGACCTAACATTAATCCGAAATGATAGTCACCAATTACTTCTCCCGCGCACTGAGATAACGTGCAACAACCCTCCGTGGCACGCGTATTACCATCCTCTCCCCGGGGCTTCCCCGGGAAGCTTCGCACGCTCGCCGCCGGACGGCGCGTCGAGCGGCGAACGTGTCACTCACTGCGCCGACGGCGGCCACTCGCGAATCAGGCGGCGCGCGCCAATCCATTACGCGTCCGCGGGTGACGCCCACGGCGGGCGCACGCCCGGCACCGTCCCCATACACCCCACCCCGACGATTATTAATACTTGTAATGGATATGTTATTACGAAATATGGCGGCAATTGGATAACAGAACGGCCCCATCAAGCGGCGCGCGGACGCCCACCACGTGACGAATGCGGCTGTCCGCCGCCGCGCCGGCCGACGGTTTGGAATGCCATAGCGCTGATGACTACTCGGTCCGTGCGCCGCCGGGATTATTTCGGTGACAGCCGCCCCGATAAGTCGTTCATCAATTCGCTGCGCGCCGCCGTCCATTAGAGGTTTCTTTTTGAAAAAGTAATCTCGTTTTCCGCGGGGTGCCGCGCCGAGTGCACTCCAGAGGCCTCCAGCGGCGGATCGTGATGAGGGTGAAGGCTTCGGCGCTTTGGCAGAGTTAGAAATCAAATGTACGGACTGAAGCGTTTTGGATTTTAGTTTAATATTCGTGCTCATAATTTATAACTCCATTGAATATTGCGACATTCGCTTTTATAAAAGAAGTCAATAATAGTACCAAATATGAAAACAACAATCGCAAAAATCCTGCTTTGTTTAACTATGTGTAATTGTTTTTTTGGCACCAATAAGAATGTGTGTATTGCTTATGAAAATTACGTTAAGAAAGGGATACATTATGTATTTTCTATTTCGTCAATGCTCTTAATTATTGTGATATTACAACATGAGGATATTAGATTAAAACCTCGAGTCATCGATTAGATCTGTATGCGCTGTGAATAACTGGCTATGTGAAATTTCCCTACTTTTCAGGGCATGCCTTGTAACCCTTCTCATTACTGATGACAGTAGTTATATTGCCTTTATAATGGCGACAACTTACTAACAATCAGGTGTATTAAACCAAATTTTATTTATTCATTGCAAAATACTGAGTACTTCTCAAACTTTAAAACTCGAACCCTGACAAGTAGGGGAATTTGACTTAACCACTCAGTCATTCAGATATATTATGAAGTCCCACAGCGAGGTTACATGGAACTCAACACGAAGCATCAATACGGCAAATTTTAATAATATTTTGATGCAAATTAACACATTAGTATTATTGTTATTTCTTAACCCTGACGTTATGCACAGCTATTTTTATTTATATCCGCGAATAAAATTACACACTCAACCACAAGGCGCCGTGAGACTTTCACGAAGACATGAAGCCATTTCCTCGCCGTGTTTTGTCTCGCGCCAACTGAATGTCGGCGGTCGCGAGGCCGGGCGAGAGTGAGAGAGGCAGAGAGAGAACGTCGTTGTTTCGGTGGCACTCAATGGATTGCGTCCTCCCGTTCCATCTCGCCGGGCCGGGCCGGGCCGGGCCGGGCCGGGCCCGCGGGACGCGCCGACGACGAGACGCGCCGACGACGAGACGCGCCGCTGCTAAGTGAAACGCTCCGGCGCGGCGCCGCCCGATTCCGCCCCGAACGAGGAACGAACTGTGCAGAAACGGATGAGATCCTTCCGCGACCGTCCCACTCCGTTCGCGCCCGCCCGCGCCGCCCCGCGCCGCGCCGCGTTGAAGTTGGCGACGCCAATTCCACGTCCGTTCTCGCTGCCCGGCGCAGCTGCACGTCCCACGCAGCCCCTCGTAGTTTTCCCATTTACTCGTTTCTGCACTACCAGTCACCCCGGCAACCCGTTTGCCATTTTCCCTTCGCGTTTCTTTGGCACTGCCATTTTTCCGAGAAGGACTTCTGTTTGCACTGATTCTGCTGTCAAATGCAATAGGGTTTGGGTAAAGGAAGTTGTAGCTAGAACCCCGTCGCTCCTGACGTGATTTACCTTGCGAGAAGTTTCTTTTTCTACATTCCTGTTCTCGTCGATGCTATCGAATCTACGACTGCCAAGAACTTACCGCTATATGCGTTACTTTTGCAAATCTTCGTAGATTTGTTTGAGACTTGAACAAACGGATTAGTTTTAAAAGGTATGCGAACTCTTTATTCATGCATTCTAATATGATAGATATTCAGATTCAAACATAAAATACCGCACTAGTCAAAAATTAATTCCACTCCTTATTCTATTATCCTTCATTTTGTGCCAAATACGAACCGGTTCCTGGCAAATCAAAATACATAGAAATTCGATTTTCTGGCCCGTCATAAAATCACCACAAATGAATGTACTACTGGTATTTTGCTTTCTTCATGCCACAGCCACAAGGTGGTTTTCGTGAAATTTAAACATACACCCGTAACGTAGATCAGTTTCCACAGCATACATCTGCACTTTTCCCCCACCAAACATATTGTTGAGAATTTAAATTAGGTAGTCTTGTTTATCAGAACCTGACTTTCTGATACCTTTAGAGTTCAATGCATGCTTCTTCCCAGATTCCTCTGACACTTTCATCCTCCATTTCCTCACTCCTCGGGGGTATGTACCACGTTGGAATCTGCTGCTCCAGGGGCGGCAGGGGGCGCTCTGGTTGCCCCGTTTCCATTCGACCGGGTACGCGGCGGCGGCGGCGGCGGTGCGCTCGCGGCAGGGGACTCCTCCGACGGATGGCCGCCATTACAGAAGGCTTGTTTACGGGGCGCTCTTTTAGGGCCTGCATCCAGGGGGCTAACGCGCGCGCCGCTCGCCCGTGCTCTCTTCCCCCGCCTCCCCTCTCCCTCAGCCACCACCGCGTGCCGCCCCGACGTGATATTTAAGGCATAGGCAGCGCGCGATCCTGCGTGTAAGACGTGGGCCCCCCGCGTGCACGCCGGGGAGGAAGCCGAGCTGTCAGGCGAGGCGCAGAGCAAAGGCACTTGGGAGCGATAAAGTCAGAGCGATCGAGTGAAGATACGGACAGCGAAAGGCTAACACAGGGCAACAATGAAGGAAGAGAATGCTGGAAAAATAAGCGTAACATGCTGGAAGTTCATAGAACGACGAAAAATACCGTGAAAAATGATAACAAAGACGATAATCGGTGGACAAAAGAAAGGGAAGTTCGTGGAAATGGGAAAGTAATGGTGCGTAGCAGAACGTCGCGAAGAATGTGATAGAGTAGAAAAGAAAGTCTTGTAAGGGGGAAAGGAGGGCTAGGGTTACATGAAAAAAGGGCCCAACTTGGCAGTCACGGCAGCTTGATTGTCAGAACAATGGGAGGACGAGGTCGTCAGACGACAAACAGGAGGCCGGAAGCTAACAAGGCGGGACGATCAGTGCAGGCGGCGCCGTGAGCGCAGGAATCGCATTTGCGAGCGAGCGCTGGAGGGCGGACGCGCGTGCGAACAAGCGCCGTGCGGAGGCGGGAGGGGGCGGGGCGGGCAGCGCGAAAAGCAACACGCCGGTGGCCCCTGGCGCGCGGCACGAGAGGGAACGCGCCGCCGCCGGGAGAGGGCTCCTCACGCGCGCCAGCGTCGCACGCGACGTTCCCGCGCCGGCTGGGGGCGTTGGAAGCGGGAATGGAGGCGAAGGAGGGGTTCATGGGAGCTTTGGAAGAGCAGGCGGGGGATTTGGAAGAGTTGGTGATGTTGGAAGTGGAAGCAAAGGCGTTGGAAGAGTTGGTGATGTCAGAACTGGAAGCAGGGGCGTTGGAAGAGTTGGTGACGTTGGAAGTGGAAGCAGAGGCGTTGAAAGAGTTGGTGATGTTGGAAGTGGAAACAGAGGCGTTGGAAGAGTTGGTGATGTTGGAAGTGGAAGCAGAGGTGTTGGAAGAGTTGGTGACGTTGGAAGTGGAGGCAGGGGCATTGATAAAGGATGTGGAGACGGAGGAGGATGTGACAGCGTAGGAAGAGGACGTAGAAGTATAGGAAGAATTATTGGTAGCATAAGACGACGACTTGGAGGAGTAGGAAGTTTAGGGGTTGTGGTATTAACTGTGGAGGAAGCGGTGTTGGAATATGAGATTAAGGCGAATATGGAAACTAGAATAATAGATTTGAAAATGAAGGTATTGAAAACGGTTGAGAATGTTGAGGAAGTGAAGATGGCGGTGGGTCCGACGAATACAGGCATGAGGTTTTCTCGGTATTAAAGCACTAAAAAGCTTCCTTTTGCCTTCGTATTCTTACATTCCTCTAAAATACTTCAATATCCCCTCGCACATGCAGAAGAATTTTTAAAAAAAATTCTTCAGAAATAACTTTAGATATTTCAACAATATATTATATTCAATTTTGTTCTATAGAGCTCAATCACATCTCTTCAGTGACCCCTTAGAGTCACAAAGAGATCCACCTTATAATGGAATAACGAGTCTTAAAGGGATGATTTCGAATAAATGGATTATGGAGAGCATGGCATTAGCATGTGGCATATACAAAGAATGCTGTGTAAGAAGTGTGAATGGCATAACGCCGACGGGGACGGTGCGGAGAAGGGTGCAATTTTACATGAGAGAGAAACAATCGTCCTGCGGCGGGCAAGATAACAGCACAGATAGCGTTGGAAATTGTCGTGAGAGCTGGTCTAATGTTACAGGCAGAGATGGAAACAGCGATGGACAGTCGAGATGCGGAATACCGATTTCAGGGTAGGTGTCAGAAGTGAAAATAGATGATTCAGTAGATGGAATAGTTCGCGTGATGGCAGTGTGAAAGATAGCAGGTAAACCGAAGGAGATATGTTTTGTGAAAACCCGTAGTCCGACTGTGCATGTCACAGCAATGAATGCTTGTACGACGTACGTGTCACACGACAATGGTATTATTACAGCAGCAGTCATAAGAAATTCCTTGATTATAAGGAGTTCCGTCAAAATAGAGTTGATTTAAAAATAGATTAGTTTGTTTTAAAAGTAGCAAAACAAGCGTGTTTTGAAATCCCTAAAAATCATGCAATCATTTTTTATGGAATATTGCGCTTTTCGAATTCTCCAGGCGTCTCTGTGCATACGTGAGCCAAGTGCAGGCGTTCCACACACGATACAACCACAAGAAGAAGAAGAATAAAAGAGAAAAGGACGCGCGTGTGGCGTGCCGGTGCGCACTATGTCTGGCGCGCGGGCAGCGCAGCGGCGTGCGACTGTCCGGAGAATTTCGCAGTCCGCGTCTGCGCCCAACCCTCTTCCATCACGGGAGGAACGGAGGCGGCAAATGGGGTAACTCCGTCTCGCTCCTTCGCCGCCGACGCGATTAACTTGATGAAAACTCCTCTTCCACTCTCCTCGCGCACGCGTTTGGGTACGACCGTCGAGATAAAATTGTAGCACGTGACCGCACAGTGAGAGTGAAGTACACGTTGGGCGCGGCATCCACGATGAAACATGGGTCCACTTCTGGAAACTGATGCATCATAACAGGTAACGGGAACTAGTGGTTTCTTTTTTCCTATTTCGTTTTATCTCTTTGTAGAAACCGATAGAATCTTTCCCCACCTATTTTATACGCTTTACATGCCACGTGGGTGTGCTGGACTCATCGAAATAAACGGCCCGCTATAACGTGTACCACGTGTCAGCGCCGGAAAACTTAACATCGAGTCGTTGTGACCTACTGTTGTTTCAACCCGGAGTGTCAGTGTACCTGGAAAAGAACATTACTCGTACACAAGGTGTCGTATTTCGAGACAGGCATTCCCATGAGATGCTTCATCCATCCCACCCCACTCCTCCTCCTTCTGGGACAGACCGGTACTAATACGAGTGCGTAATTCTTCCTCAACGTGACGCTAAGCACTCTCACCGCAGGCCGCAGAATATTCTTCTCTCTGTCTCTCCGCTCCTCGCGCGGGGAGGGCTTGCGAAACGCCTTCGCGATGTAACCCAACAACTTACGACTCCACTCGTAGGAAGAAACGCCGCTTAAGCGCGTGGTCAGCGAGCGGTCACCCGGCGAGCGTGACGCAGGCCGAGTTCCCTCTCAAGGGCCGCGCTGAGACCAGTGAAATCCGCGCGAAAGCCCGCTCAAAGAGTTGATCTGCCCTCAAATAAATAAATAAATAAATAAATAAAATAAAATAAATAAATAAATAAATAAACAAATTTAAAAAAATCATGAAATGAAACAATATAAAATGGAAACAAAAGTAATTATTTATTTATTCTCGTCAAAAACTGTTAAAAACTCTGTGTGACGTGCTATGGGGAAAAGTTAATTTGAATTTATTTATTTATTTTATTTATTGACGTCAAAAACAGTTAAAAACTGTGAGTGAGGTGCTATGGAGAGAAGTTAATTTGGATCTGGGAGAATTAGAAATGAAAAAAATTATTTGAATCTATACTAATTTTTTTAAACTAATCGTCAATAAATAATTATAACTCTCAAAATCTATCTTCTAAGTTTTGTGCTCGTTGTACACATTTCGTATGTGTGTAAACGCCGCAAACAGTTAATATTGACTTAATGAAATGTCTTGTTTTGAATTTAAAAAAAAACGAATTTCGTGGTGACGTGCACCTCTAACAGCTCATACTCCCTTTCATTGCATTGATTATACAATTCTACAAAATAATTAATCAATTCAATAATAAATTGTTCGTGTCACAGCCGATGAAAATTGGATTCCATTTTATTGGTTACATCTACTAAACACCGCGTGCATTCCACGACCGCGCGTGGCGTCGAGCGGTGAGCTCGTGAGCGCGGAAAAAGGTGAGCGGCGGCGAGTGGCGAACGGCGAGTGGTGGTGCCGTAGGATGAGCGCGCTTGGCCGGGCCGCGCCCGCAAAGGGGAAGGTCGGCCGCCTGGGCGAACGCGCGTTTCCCAACCGTGCGCTTCTGCTGCTGTGCCTGCTCAAGCTCGCTGTAGCTAGCTGCTGCTGCAGACGCCGTGGCCGCCGCGGGCCGTCACGCGAATCGAGCCCAAGGCTGCTTCCACCACCGACGCGAACGCGCTCTTCTGCCGCGGCCGGCGCTGCGCCTCTTAAGTAACGTTTCTCTTTCGCGACCGCTGCGCCGGGAATGGGACGGAGAGACGCTCGTAAAGCGTTTACTTCTTTTCGAAATAATTGAATTTGAATGTAGAGTGCTCCTAGAAAATGAAGTTTGAAGTAAACGAAAACAAAAGAGCTGAAATTAAAATATTTTAGCAATGTATGTTTTAATCACTGTCATACAAATTTTGAAAAATAACGTTAGGTTTTGACGGATATTTTTCAAATTTAGGAGTATTAATTTTAACTTCGTTGTCATAAATTTTCCTAATATCATTACCATTTAAAATGTGTTGCTAAAAGTGATACAGAGATGTACGCGATTATGAAATTAAACTATTTGCAATATTAGCAAAAATTTTGCGACGTTGAAGTTGGATTTACGAATATTTAAGTTCGTTCTATTTTATTAACGTATGCAAATTGCGTTGAAAGTATAAACATGTACTAGTCTCTTTCGCTTTTACGATTCTCCTCTAGTGAACGTTTTCTTCACACCTCTGTATCGGGGCTTTCGGTGAAAAATGCGGGAGGAACGACTTTCCTATATTTGCTTGCTTAAAGTTTGGCGAGGGTGGTTTGTCAAACTTCCTCTGAACAATGTTTTCCCGAAATCCCGCGGACACAAATGGGTATTGGCGTTTCGATGATCGCGCCGTTGGTGATCGATATCGTTCGATGGAAGCCGATTCCGGAGCAATGGCTTCTGTCAGTTGACGTTCCGCGACCAGAATGGCGCAGGTCAGCGGAAATAGCGCGAACGTGACTGGCGTGTGAGTGACACACTCACGGATGCCTGAGGTAGTTAGATCGGAAAATGCTGAGTCAGAAAGCAGGTCAAGGGGACGGGCTAGAGTGCTGCAGTGTCACAATCGAACATTCTTTCATGAACTCCGCAGGCGGGTATTCGTCGAAGGACGACGTAAAAGTACTACTGCCCACGAAATCCCTCAGGCTTCCATTGACACATACACGAACCCTCATCTGAGCAACTTCACGCCCATCTGTACACGTATATGGCTGCACGTGCATCTTGTGAAGACATTCAAGCAGACCTCTCTCTCACGTTAGGACACTAACCTCGCATCCTTATATTAACGCAATTCTTTAATCATCCTCTTCTTCTGTAACTATCCAATTCATTTATTCAGACTCATACAGTCGAAATATGTTTCTCGCGGATTATATTACTTCAATTTTCTTTTATTTCTAAGAGAAGAATTTAACGTCATCCCAAAAAGGCAACATTATGACAATTCAAAGAAAAGAAAAAAAACTGCGCTTAAAAAAATAAAAAAATTAAGAGTGCGAACAATCCGAAAAAAGCAAAAAAAGCGCGAGGACATCCGTGTCAAAATTTCGGCTCCCGCCCACCCACTTACGCTCACCACATCCTGCGCCGCGGAGACGATTTCGTCCGCTGCAAGAGCCGGAGCCGACGCTGCTAGGCGCCCGCAGACCGCTCGCGAGCGGGGAGGAGGAACGGGCGCCGTTTATTTCCGCGAAGGTCACAATTTATTGGCGATTGGTGTCCCATTATGCGAAATTGCAGACCCCGCACTGCGACGCCGCTTTGCGCGGACAATGCGCGGGCGGCGGGGGCGGCGGGCGATGACGCGGCACCGGCCTTGTGGGCGGGCGGGCGGAGGGACAAGCGGAGAGCGAAGGGGCGTTGGCGTACAGGGTGGAGGAGGAGGCGGTGGTGGTGGTGGAGAGGGGCGGACGAAAAACGACGAGAGGGACGCGCCACCGCCGCCGCCGCCGTCACGAGGGTGCGCGCTAACCACAGGGCGCGCGCGGCACCGCCCACTCGCCCATCGACAGCCCCTCCCCGCCCGTCCCGCCCACCCGGCCCGACCGCCGGCGCCGCTTTCCAGCCGTCGTCACTCGCCCAGGGTGCTCTTCTAGGCCCCTTTGCCCTCTCTGGCGTGGACCACTGTCACCCTTCGGCCGTTTGTTTCTCCGACCAGGACTCTTTTTCCGCCTGTGGTGCTCGTGTAACTTCCAACCGACTCGACGCACTGCCTCGTTTTGAATTCGAGCTTTAATTTCCTTGGTAGTCATGATTTAAGTTAATGGTGTTTGTGAATGTTTTTGAGTCGCAGAATGCACACCATTACACTTAATTTATCGTCACTTAAAACTCGTATTATGATAGTTCTTTATTCCTTCAAATTCTTGTTTTAGCATTATCTCCTCTTTGTTTCTACCGCGTTCGTTCGCATGATTTGAATTCCCTAAATCTCGTCTCCAATTTTTTATTTAAATTTCTATCATTCTTTTGTGCGTGTTCTTTATTCCGTATTTACCCTTCCCCGTCCTTCTCCTCTCGTAAAAAGCCCCCGCGTAGCCCATAATGTCCCTGGGCGAGGGCAACCACTCGCCGGTGCCCGAGAGCATCGTTTTTGCCGCCGCCGGAGGGCGGGGCGGGGCGGCAGTCATCGCCGGTGTCCCGCGGGGGGCCCATAGACCACAGGGGGCCCGGCCTTCATTTTGGGAGAGCCACTTCCCGGCGCGGGAGGGGGGCGGCGAGGCGCTTCGGGAAATTCGAAACAACGGGCGGCCGCGTTTAGGGCCGCGTCATTACAGTAAGTCAGGGCGGCGGGGGCGGGGCACGGGCGAGGTTCGGGTGGAGCGCGGGCGGAGACGCCCGCCCGCCTGCAGCTCTCAAAATTCGACTCTGCTTCTCCGCCCAGCCTCCGCCCGACCGCCCGGGATCGCCCCTGATCCGAACCTGGCGTGGGGCCGCTCCGCTGCTGCTGCTGCTGCTGCTGCTTCTGCCGCCGCCGCCGTTGCCGTTGCCGTTTCGGTGTGTGCGCTGCCGAGCCCTAACCGGCTCAGAGCCATTCGCTAAGCCGT